CCCCAAAGCCCCAGTAGATAGTTGTATGTCATAGCTGCACATCCCTCTAGTTGCTGTATGTGGGTCGCGGCCTCAGCATGGCCAGAGAAGCAGTGCGTCGGGGCGCGCCCGGTATCCGAACCCGGGCCGCCAGTAGCGGAGCGCGCGCACTTAACCGCTAAGCCACCGGGCCGGCCCACAACTTTCTGTTTTTAGAACTCTGGTGGGTGCAAGATGTTCTTAAATTGTATTTTTCTCATAATTGTTGAAGTTGAGCATCTCTTCATATGCTTGTTAGCTTTTTTGGTTTCCCCTTTCTGTGAATTGCCTGTTCCTGTAATTTACAGTCACGTGCCGCATAACGAGGTTTCGGTCAACGATGGACTGCGTATATGACAGCGGTCCCATAAGATTAGTACCATAGAGCCTAGGTGTGTAGTAGGCTCTACCATCTAGGTTTATGTAAGTACATTCTATGAGGTTCACACAATGATGCATTTCTCAGAAGGCATCCCTGTCGTTAAGCGACCGATAACTGTATTTATTTCTTTTTTTTTTTTTTAATTTTTTGTTTATTGCAGTAACATTGGTTTATAACATTGTAAAAATTTCAGGTGTACATCATTGTACTGTATTTATTTCTTTAGGATGTATTCTATATGTGTCTTGTTGATTTACAGATGTTCACTAAATATTTAGATATTAATCCAGCGTACTTTGGAAATGTCTTCCCAGCAGCTCATCAATTTGTCAAGTTGTCCATGGATTCTTTCATTAAACAGAAATCATTATGTTTTGAAGTCAAATCCATATGTATTTCTATGATTTATATTTTTGTGACATGTCTAAGAAATCCTTTGCCAATGTGATGTCGAAGATATACTCAATTTCTTCTTTATGTTTATATGTGTGGTTAGGTTTTCTCTGATTTTTGCAGCACCATTTAATAAAGAACCCACCGTTTTCTTGCTGATTTGTAATGACAACTTGATTGTAAACCACTTTCTCATATTGTGTTTGACTCTCTCTCTTCTATTTGTCTCTGTTCCAATTTTCTACTGTTGTAATTGCTATAGTTTGTAATATGCCCAACTATTAGGAAGATTCTGTCTTTTGTGATTTTTTTTTTTTTTTTGCAAATGTTCATAGTGATTTGTAGACATTTATTCTTCCATGCAAATGTTAGAATGCACTGGTCCAGTTACCCCAATGTGGCTCTCATTGGCTGATGCTGAGTCCTTTCCCCTTGCCCAGCGGCAGCAGGTCAGCCAGATATTCAGGGTTACATAGAACCTATGTGTCACCTGAGGACGCTGATACATTTAAAGGAAAGGGGAGTTCAGGTCTTCACAGCATGGGTAGCTATGTCTAAGGACATTCCTATATGCATTCCTAGATGCAGGAATCTCTGAAAATTAGAAAAAAAATAGTATACATACAATAGCCCTTTTGACTTTCTTAAGCCCCCAAATGCTCTTCCAATGGCAACGGTAGCCATGCTAACTGCATGGATGGTGGTTAAGCACGACACATGTCAAGGATGTACACCTAGCTCTGTGACCTGAGCCGTGCATGCCACCTCTCAGGGCCTAAGTCCTCACACATGTCATAACAATGGATAATGTTAACATTTTTCCCCCAGCGGCTGTTCTGAGGAGCAAATGAAGTGATGCTTACCAATCACTTGATGTTATGGGTTGAATTGTTGAATCTCCCAAAATTCATATGTTGAGGTCCTAACCTCCAGTGCCTCAGAATGTGACCTTATTTGGAAATAAAGTCTGAATTAGTCTGTATTAGTCCAGTAGGGCTGCCATAACAAAATGCCACAGACCGGGTGGCTTAAACAACTGAAACTTATATTCTTGCAGTTCTGGAGGCTGGAAGTCCAACACTAAGGTGTTGGTGGGGTCAGTTTCTCCTGAAGCCTCTCTCCTTGGGCCGTAGATGGCCATCTTCTCGCTGCGTCTTCACATGGTCTTTCCTCTGCATGCACATGTCTTGTGTCTCTCTGCGTCCAGATTTCTTCTTCATGTAAGGATACCAGTCAAACTGGATTAGGGAGCACCATAATGGCCTCATTTTAACTTAATCACCTCTTTCAAGGCCCTGGCACCAAATACAGTCATATTCTGAAGTACTGAAAGTTGGAGCTTCAACATGTGAATTTGGAGAGAGCACAATTCAGCCCATAACAGGGGTCGTCATCGATGTAATTAGTACAGATGAAGTCATCCTAGAGCAGGGTGGGCCCCTAATCCAATATGGCCGGTATCCTTATGAAAAGGGTAAATTTGGACATACACACACACACGAATGCCATGTGACGATGAAGGCAGAGATCAAGATGATGCTTCTACAAACCAGGGAATGCCAAAGACTGCCAGCAAACCAGCAGAAGCCAGAGGAGAGGCGGGAACAGATTCTCCGTCACAGCCTGAGAAGGAACCAACCCTGTGACACCTTGATCTCGGGCATCCAGCCTCCAGAACTGAGACAACACATTTCTCACAGCCCCCCCAATGTGTAGTACTTGTCACAACAGCTCCAGGAAACTGAAACACTTGGCTTGTGCCAAATGCCCAATAGGTAGTAAATTTTTTTTTTTTTTGAGGAAGATTGGGCCTGCACTAACATCTGTTGCCAATCTTCCCCTTTTTCTTTTTCTTCCCCAAAGCCCCAGTACATAGTTGCGTATCATTGTTGTAGAGTTGTAGCTCTTCTATGTGCGACACTGCCTCAGCATGGCTTGATGAGCAGTGAGTAGGTCTGTGCCCAGGATCCGAACTGGTGAACCCCAGGCCACTGAAGCAGAACGTGTGAACTTAACTGCTACACCTCCTGGTGGCCCGAGTAAATATTTTTTATTCTTTCTTTATCCTATTCTTCCTGTGTTTCCTCCTTTTTTTCCCCTTTCTTGGTAATTTCTCTCTTCCTTCCATCTTCCTACCTGCCTGCTCCTTTCTTCTTCTCTTTTTCTCTCTCAAGGGTAAAGATGGCGTCTGACTGCCACTCGCTCTGCGCCCAGCACCTGCCTGGCACATCAGCCTTCCCTGGAGCCATCTGCAGAGGGTGTGAGTCAGCTCTGCTCTGTGCATCCTGTCTTTCCAGGTTGGGCATTTGCCGGCTCAGCTCCACAGCCTGTGAGGGTCTCTCTGCTGTTCTCCAGGTCAACCACCATCTCCGGGAGCTGGATCTGAGTTTCAATGACCTGGGAGACTGGGGCATGTTGCTGCTGTGCGAGGGGCTGCGACACCCCACCTGCAGGCTCCAGAAACTGTGGTGAGCAGGGGAGTCAGGACTGGCGGTGATGGTGGTCATTGGGGTGGGAGCATCATCTTATCCTTGTTTTTGTTCTTTTGAAGGGTTATCTCTCCATCACTTTGGAGGATACCAGAAGCCTAGATGTGGAAAGAAAAACTGTGCAAACGAGTCTTAGAATAATTCATATTCTATGGGAATACAAACATAATATGCTTCATTTTTTCCTGCAATCGTTGCCTCTAAACATTTTCTGTGAAACTCCCCCTTTCCCTTGACATTTACTTGGAGAGATTCATAGCTTCTCGGTAACCTTTATGTAATAAAAATTCAATCTAGTCCAGTGTAAATACCAGTCAAACGTGAATTATTACTTCCTCTGTCTCCTTTCTCCCAATACCAGGCCCCCAACCTGAAAGACTTAGAATTCTGAGATGAGGCGTATCTCAAATATCATCTTCCGTTTCTGAGTCTCTTGTTTATCTGGGAATTAAGATGGGGGCTTAGGGACAACATCTCTCCCTTAATTGGTGCTGCTGGGCTCCCTCTGGGATGTCAATACCCCCTCATCGGGCAGGCATCCAAATGCTTCCTCTCTCATGGGGATTGTATGTGAGTTCTTATGGGGACTCCATGGGAGGTGCCTCCACTGCCCAGTCTCCTGATGTAGAATAATTAATCTGGGTCAACCTCCTCGCACAACCCTGTCCCCAGCTCTCACCATAATCTTCTACTCCTGTCCCTTCTGTACCTGTGATGTGGGTAGTTGTACGTCACCAAGCTGGCTTTTTTTCTTCCTTCTCAAGTCCTGAACTCTTGTCTTGTACCTTGTTTTGGAAGCTGGCATCTATTGCCTTGTAGCCTCAGCCACACTAAGATTAAAATATTTCCATTTAACATCCCAGCTACGATAGTACTTATTTCAAAAGATTGCTGTGAGGAATAAATGATAAAGCAAGCATAAAGCCCTTAGCAAGGTGCTCAGCACACAGTTGGCACTCAATAAATGCTACCTATTACTTATTTTTATTGTAACAGCAGAGAATACAGGAAGGAAACACAGTTGGAGACAGAATAGAAATCAGAGAGAATCAGATGGCATACTGTTGGGACAGGTGGCAGCCCAATGCCTATTGGCTTCTTAAAAAAAAAGGATTTATTGACTTGTGTAACTGAAAAGGTCAGGTTTCAGGCATGGCTTGATTTAGGCATTCGGATTCATTTTTTTTTGCCCCCAGGGGGTACACCGTCCATGGACGCACTGCAACACCAGGTTGATTCATGGAGTGGATGGAGCAAACTCCTATTCTATCTCCCTGCTCCAAAAATCCATTTAATATATTGTCCTCGGATAGAGGATGTATCAGATATTAAGATAAAAACATATCAGGGGCTGGCCTGGTGGCATAGTGCTTAAGTTTGCGTGCTCCAGGGTTCGTGGGTTCGGATCCCAGGCATCAACCTACACACCACTGGTTAAGCCATGCTGTGGCAATGTCCCATATACAAAATAGAGGAAGATTGGCACAGATGTTAGCTCAGGGCCAATCTTCCTCACCAAAAAAAACAAAAAAACAAAGACAAAAAAACGTATTAGGTATTAAGATAATAACAGATACTACACTTGATCTTAGCCAAAAGGCTGAGAAGTGATAGGCATTTGGATTCTTGATCTCCATTATCTTCTATACTTATTGGCTTCATTATCAGTTAAGGTTAGCCTTGACCCTGCTTGGTGGCAAAATGCCTGTGGTTCTTTCCAGGTTCAAGTTCTGAAAGAAAAACTCCAGGAAAAGTGTGGTTCTGATTCACTGGCTTTGGGTGGATCCTGTGCCCAGTTGGAACCATTTATGGTGGCTGGGGATGTGGAAACCAACTGACTTAGGCCTTGAGGACAATGTTAACCGCAGATGGACTGAGACTGGGGTTTCAATGAGATATATGAGTAGAATTGCCAGAAGGGGAAATAGATGCTTGGCTACAAAATCAACAGGTATCCATTATAGAGGGAGCTGTGAGCTGAGGAGCATCTTTAAATGCCTCTCTTAAATGCTTGCCATCCACGTTGGCCTTAACCTGGACCGATTTGGTTCTACTCTAATTTGACTTAAATTGGTCCCCTAAAAACATCACCCTGATTCCTTATGAAGATGAGACTTTCCAAAAGTAGCTCGTGATGTGGCTTTAACCAGTCTTTATCTCCAACAGGCTGGACAGCTGTGGCCTCACAGCCAAAGCTTGTGAGGATCTTTCTTCCACCCTGGGGGTCAACCAGACCCTGACGGAGCTTTATCTGACCAACAACGCCCTGGGGAACACCGGTGTCAGGCTGCTATGCAGGAGGCTGAGCCATCCCAGCTGCAAACTCCGAGTCCTCTGGTGAGAGATGGTCCCTGATTCTGGAGGAGGCGGGGTATGGGGCTCAGAGTTGGGAGTGGAGGTCGGTAATTGAGACCTGCCTCCTCCAGTTTGGTTGGACAAATCTATAAAATTTGGAAATATTTCCTTCATCCATACTCATGTATTCAATTTGCGTGGAATACACAGGGGGCCTAACTTTACCTCTTGGGAGATATCTACACCATCTACTGGCTGTGTCACCTTGGATAATGTACAGAGTATCTATTTCCTAATCTGTCAAGTGGGGCCGTTGTCGCCTAGTGAGAATCTGAAATTACTCGGCCTGGGCTCAAATTCTAATTCCATCCCTTATCAACCCTGTGATACTTTTTTTTTGGGGCAAATTTTTTGATTTTGCAAGTTATTCAACTTCTTAGTGCCTCAGTATGCCCGTCTGTGAAATGATGAAAATAGTTACTTCTTCATAAGACTATTACAAATTAAATGAGTTACTGCAGGCTAGGGACTTAAAATTATGTGTAATTTAGAGGAAGCCTATTTCCCAATAGGGTTTGGTTTCAAGTGAAGTACTAGATAGTGGAATTATTTTAACAGGGCAAGATGCATGATAGATTTGATATATCAGTTGAATGCCACAATAGTGGCCTGGAATAATATTTCCTACTGTGTCCTCAGGTTGTTTGGAATGGACCTGAATAAAATGACCCACAGAAGATTGGCGGCACTTCGCATAACAAAACCCTACTTGGACATTGGCTGCTGAATGGTACTATCTGCTGGTTCTTTTCTTGAAGTCAGGACAGAGGAAGATCACCTCAGGACCTGCTAATCAGCACCATGATCAGGATCTTTATTTCCTCAAGAGACAAACTCAGATGCAGAATAGATCCTTTCTGCTTGGGGGTCTATGACATCAACGTGTAACAGAGCATGCACCTTTAGTTTGGGGAATGTTGGTGCCAGGGATAGAACTTAGGGCAGGGCCCCAATGATTCTAGAACAGGGGTTCTCAACTGAGGGTGAGTTTGTCCCCCCAGGGGACACTTGGCAATGTCAGGAGACATGGGAGTGGTGCTGCTGGCATCTGGTACAGACCAGGGATCTTGCTAAATGTCCTACAATGCACAGGACAGCCCCCACCCCCACCCCCAACAAAGTATTTAACTAAAAATGTCAATCATGCCGAAGTTGAGAAACCCTTTTCTCAAAGATTAATGGTGCAATAGTTTGGAAGGCTGGCGTACCTTAGAATGCTTGTTATGCCAATAATCCTTGCAATCTTGTTTTGCACCATGAATCTGTCCCCTGGCTAGAGCCAATCAGACCATGGTTGGACACCTGCCACGGTTAGCTAACTGTAGGCTGGCTCATAATCTACATACACCATGCTGTGGATGAACACATGAAACCAACCACAATTTCACTCTTGGGGATTTGAACTAGGAGATTGATGGTTGGGAAACTTCACAAGAATGCCGGAAGCATGTCATGCTGAAGACATCAAGATGTCTGGAAAGAGCAGAATTTACTAGGAAGCAGAGGAAACTTGAGATGAGAAAGGATAGTGACCTTGTAACCCATGAAAGGATGGAAAAGAAAATAACTCACATTCTGAAGACATTCCTGTGGACATGAATAAATGCTCCATGAAGTCACATTAACATATTGTTCCTTGAAATCAAGACCTATTCTGAATCCTCTTAGCTTACCTGCCCTCCAGTCCCTTTATCAGCTGCTACTGAATGAACCTGCCCATCTCACAAGCCCTGTTGATCACGACCCAGACCCTTTGAAGCTGACTAACCGAGAAACTTGACCCAGTTATCTAATCCCTAGGCTGCCTCAAAAAGATAGGGGCCAATAAAATCTGAGCACCTTCTTGGAGTATAAATGTTGGTATATGTGTGGGGGGGGTGGAAACAGGGTGGCGCTGACAGACCTTAGAGCCAGGTGTTACCTGTTGAAGAGGTAGGATGTTCCCGGGTTGATGCTGTAGGATGCAATGAGCGAGACAGAACTCCCTGGATGTAGCTTAGTTCTGTCAGTGACAAGTGAAGGCCACGTAGCTGCAGTGGTTTGGGGACGCCCACTGGGCACAGCCCTCCAGGACCAATGGGAGATCATGAGTGATGTTTAGACTTCCCAATTGAAATTGGGATTAAATCTCCCAACCACTCCCAAGAAAATGAGTCAATGTGGATTTATTAAATGTGGTCACACCCTCCCCTTAAATTGGCAGGGGTGGAGGAAAGTTAACACTCAATACTTATGTAAAATGGCACAATCTTTGAGTGGGCCCTTATGTCCACAAGCTGCATTCCGAAATATATTCTTAAATGACATTCCTTCTGGTACCGAGCAGATTTCATAATAGGACTTTTCCATTCTTTACCCGTAGTTTAAATGATTTGGCACTGCCAGCCCCGTTGATTGCAAGTTCATAGTTCAGCCTCTTGAACTGTACAGACTGGGCAAATGAAATTGAGGCTAATTCTCCGTTACGTGACTCCCCTCCCCTTTCAGCATCTCTGTGCTCTTCCAAATGTAGATCTTCCATGGCTTTGTTGCTAATCTCAATATTGAGATTATGTATGGCACTTGTAAAGGTACTCAGAAAGCTCCAATCCTAACTTTGTGGAGGATATTAATCTCCAGAGGGTAAACTCATGTGCCATTTAACAGGACATGGCTGGGGGGAAGCCCTAAAACGCTGGGTTCAAGTTAGGAATATGGCCGTGTCGCCATAGCAGGGTGGGGAAGTCCAAGCACTTTTCTGACCCCAAATCAGTCCCATGTAGATATTGTCTAGCAACCCTCATTAAGAGCCCCAATATTCTGAAGTGGAGATTTGTCCTGCTCAAGGGTGAGAAGCAGTGACTAGGGTTCATTTATGATGCCCAGGACCTTACCCCTTTCTTCCTTTCCCACACCTGATTTTGCATGGACCATTGAACTCAAGCACAAGAACCCTATTTCCATAAACTGGGCTATTTTAGACAAATTACTGCTAGTCACAAATCCACATACAGGCATTACATGGGTATGCAGTTTATGTTTTATTGTACTTTAATACATCTCACCATTATTAAATAGATTTAAGTACATGCTGGTCTTATGACTGATTTCTGAAAAGAACTGGATGGATATTTTTGTGAGGAAGATCAGCCCTGAGCTAACATCCACACCAATCCTGTTTTTGTTGAGGACCGGCCCTGAGCTAACATCTATTGCCAATCTGCCTCCTTTTTCTCCCCAAAGCCCCAGCAGAGTTTTATGTTGTAGTTGCACATCCTTCTAGTTGCTGTATGTGGGACGCCGCCAAGGCGGGACAAGCAGTGCGTCAGTGGGGTGCCTGGGATCTGAACCTGGCGGCCAGTAGCAGAGCCACGGGGCTGGTCTCCAGGATGGATAACTTCAAGAATGTGCTATCTTAGAGTTTATTAAACCATTAGAAAATCTAGGGTTGGTAAAATTCTTTGTCTATACAATCACATTTTAATAGCATGAGGAAATAGGGACAGGAAGACGTTATGTAAAACTGGGTTCTAACTGGAGGGAAAACCTGTTCAGGACTGATCTGAGGTCCTTGGTTGCTGGCAATCTCCCCTGGAATGAACAAAATCTCGATTAGTCAGGAAAAATGGTTACCATGATAGAGTAAGAAATTGGCTCATGTCAATTCAGATGGTGGGGGCCGGAGGCTGGAAATCCAGTTGGATGCCGCAGCAAGTCAGATCTGGAGATTTTAACAAGATTGGAAACAATCCAAGGCAGGATGTTAAGTGCATCTATCAAAAATCTTTACTCCAACAAGCTCCTAGGGTGCTTTCCTCAAACGGAAACACACAAAATGGAAGCACTTTCCAGTCATGAGTACGGCAAGCGCCCCCATTTTGAGTATCCCAGTCTTGAGCTGATGGAACTTGTTCCTGGAATTCGCTGAAGGGTCTTAATTTTAGTGACCTTAAAGTTCCCATTCAAAAGAATCAGATTCAAGAAAATGCTGTGGACTTAAATACCAAGTAGAAATCAAGACACATCTTAATAGAAACCTGCCTAGTTAAACCCTATGGTCACAGTTATAGCTGGTATTGCCCTTCCATTACCAATTTCGGATTCCCTTCCCCTCAGCAAGCACTGCCGCTCAGCTTGTTGTTACTGCTGGGGGACTCGAGCCATTCCTGAAGTCCATGAGCCATCAGAAACCCTACCTGAACTCTCCCATCTTCCGACTTTCCCAGATAGACCTCCATACTGACTAAAGCATTTCTTGTTTCCAATACCAATTTCCCTGTGGCTATCAGAAACCCAGCAATACCTCCCATAAAGTTTCCACAGAAGATGTCCTGACTAGAACAGGATATGGGCTCCTCGATGGTGGCCGCCGGTGACACTCAAATATTGCAGCACTTTCCATCCAGATCTTTGCAGAGTGCTTCCACATTTGAGTACCACAGGCTGAGCAGTTCCACCCAAGATGTTTGCCTAGAGGCAGCCTGGACTGAAAACAGCCAGAGCGAAGTCCTGTCCTAGATATCCAATGGCTTGTCAACGACCCTTCCAATATCTACCAAATAGAAGCTACTTTCTCAACCGGTAACACTCAAAAAATGGCGGCACTTCCCTACGTAGAACAGAAAGTGCCCCCACAGTTTGAGTATCACAGGTAGAGTAATTCCGCAAGACTCCTACCGCCTGTTTAAGGACTTACCAGACAAGGAATTATTGCAAAGGATTAAAAAATAAACCTATCTTATTCCTAAAATATGGACAGCAGAAAGTTAGACCATGGAAGTCAAGCTCACCTTCATCACCTCCTTGACTAGCATTAAATTAAAAGACTTTCAGCAAAGGAGATGTCACTGCATATATCCACATCACCATAAGAATTACAGCTTCGATTTGGTGACAGAGCCCATCACGTGACTCCATTGTGGGCCTGTTATCCAGTTTTAAGTCACAAAACAAAGAAAAATGTTACTCAAAAGGACCTGCCCTGTGTTACTCCATCAAGGATGTAGAAGACCAAGGATTCTCACCTCAAGATATCCGTGCATGATGAACCCATCGTCACGCAAATGAGCTTCTGGATCCAAGACCCCAAGCTACAGAGCAGAGAACAGTTTGCATATAGGGACAGAGTTTGAGAACATGTGTGAAAGGGAGGTCAGGATGAAGTGAGTAGCCATGGAAGAAAGCCATTGCGTGGAATCTCAGAAGCCAGCACAGGTAAACCTTCAAAGGATGGGAGAAAGAAAAAAAGGGAATAATGTGTAGCCAATACTTACAGAGTGCAAAGACAGGATTGCGTTGCTTCTCTTTCCTGGCAATGATGGAGCGGGCGCTGCTGGGCTCTTATATAAGCTGAAGACCCATTCACTCGGACTCTGAGGGCAAGACCACTCCCCTCCACGCAGTCTCCGCCCAGACCCACCCTGCTCTCTTTGATTGTCTTAGTCAGACACACCCTCACGTATTTTCTAAACTGTTGACCCTTTGATTGGTTTTATCACCAGAACAAAGTAATTGTGAGCAACTGGGAAAATGCAGAGAAGTACCCAGAAGAAAGTAATCCCATCTCCTGGGGGTTCCGTTATTCATTCAACAATTATGGACATACAATATTTGTTATATCTATTGAGCAAATAAGACATACCAAGCACGTTGCTAGTTCCTGGGGTCAGAGTGGTGAATAAGACCATGGATTTTTTTTCGTCTAGAACAGTGGTGGGTTTTTTCCCTCCCCAGGGAATATTTGACAATGTCTAGAGACCTTTTCGTCTGTCACAACTC